ACAGAGACAGAGGGGGAGAACTAGACTAGATGACATTATTCAAACCCTGGAGAGAGCCATGTCTGAAGCCAGACTTTTCAGCTAATTGAAACAATCAATTTATTTTCTGCCATGTGCTCTTTAAAAAGTCCTTACTAATATATCATCTGGTAAGCAAACTGGTAAGAACACCACAATCAAGTAATTCATTGGGATATATATTCAGGGAAAGTCTTCTCCAAAGTCTTATTTAAAACAAATCCATTTGGGTAAACTAAAAATACATTCACACAACGAGTCTGCTGACTGCATATGAAATAATTCTAATTTACTATTTACAGTGGTTACCTCTAGAGTATACGGCCACAGAGGTGGTAAGAGAGAATTGGGGACATTTTTGTTTACTTGTGAAATGATGATATTTTCTACAATGCTCAGGTATTACTGTTATGGTTTTTTGTTTTGTTTTGTTTTTTAAAAAAGCTGTGATGATTAGAAAAGAGAATGTAGAAACAGATCTAACACAAGGTTGTGAAGATGGATGTGAGGGTCTATGGGAGGGAGAATCTGCTGACAGGATATGGTGAGGGCTCCGCTCCCTGAGGGTGAGAATCTAGGTCATTCTGTGAGGAAGCAGAGAGAACACACTGGTCAGAACACACGTCAAAGGGAACTCCTAACACAAAAGTCACAATGTTCTCAGTCAGTTGAGGAATGTGCTGTCTCAGGAGTACTTTCAACTAAAAAGTTATGGATATGCTTGCATTTGAGAAGTATTAACTTCTAGCAAAGAAAACACTGAAGTCTAAGACACATATTTCAGAAATGAGTAAAAGTAAAGGCTCCCAGTCCAACTGTTTTTAATGGCTGCATTATATTCCACTTTTAAAACCAGTACTCTATTGCAGATACTGGACTGATTTTCCTTCACCATGGAATCTTCGACTTAAAATAATCAGCTGTACTTCATGCTTTAATGCAGTTTTTGACCTCTCACGACCCATACTATGTGATGCATGTATTTTAATTATGCTTTGGAAATTACTTTTAATGAGGTGAATAAGCTTTTGTTAATAGGATACAATTCTCAAATCATCAGGAAGCACAGTGGATGGAGAATGGTAGTTGGGGAAATGTGTTTCATAATATTTTGCTTTGATCCAGGGGTCCAACATCTGGGTAGAATTAGGAATCACAGTGAGCATTCTTGCCTGAGAGCCACCACCCCTTATCTGTCATCCCTGCAGACTCACAGCAGCTCTAAAAAGGAGGACAAGACATCTTGCCAGGAGTTACATGGTGAGCAGTGACATCGCACCTCACTGAGATGCTCACTCTGTGCTTTGCCCCAGCCCTACTGTTACAGGAGGGACATGGCAAAAACAGAAGCTAGATGATCAACAAAATCATATTCTTTTGGGCTAAAATATTGCCCTATAATGTCCAGAGTGGACCTTCCAGCCCAGTGAGAATATCACTCTTGGGACGGGGAATGCTCAAGACAAATGGCAAGTTTCTCCAGGCTCTCAATTAAACCATTTGGCTTCGTTTTACTTACGGTATTGGAGTTTTTTGATGGCTACTATTATTATCGGAGAAAATGGAATTATTGGCAGCACTGCTCAAAAAGAGAATGTACTGAACACTCCACCTGTTCAATAGTGTTTATCAAATACTGAAATCAGTATTTATGAAATTGCTGGTTAATTATCAATCTCTCCATTAAAAGGTAAGAACCTTGTTCTTATTCATATGCTTGTGCTTTCTCCCATTGGGGGAGATAGAGACAGTTAAGAAAAAATTAAGAAGACTTAATTGTGGTTTTAATCATAATTGCACTAAGTTCTCAAAATAGAAGATGGGTTTGATGAGCTCAGAGAGGGTTTCTGCAAGGAAATGAGGATTGAGCTAAAATCTGAAAGACACACAGGAGAGGAGGAGGCAAAGGAACTCTTCAGGCAACAGGAGGAGCCAAGGGCCCGAGGTGGCTGAGCACAGAGCACTGGAAAGGGAGAAGGAAAACCAAGACAGCTGCAGTCCAGAGAGTGAGGCTGGCAAAGGGCGCGGGGTGACGCTGAGACAGAGACAGGAAACGACGGCACAAAACCCTACAGGCCAAGGAGTCTGGTCTTGATCCTCAGTGAAACGAATAGCCATTGAAGGGAATTAAACAAAGGAGCCACAGGATCAGAGTTTTTAAGAGATGGCTATGAGCTCTTGTTAGTGGCGAGTGAATTGAAGGGAAATAAAATAGATGTGGAGAGACCAATTAGGAGGGTGCTGCAGTGACTTATGCAAGAGATGATATTAGTTTGGACTAGGATGATAGAGACAGAAAGAAACAGACTGGATTTGTTTAGGAAGGAAAAATCAATAGGACTTATTTAAATGTAGAGGATAAGGAAAGATCACGCAAGAATACCTGGTTTCTAGATGATGCAGGTGCTGGAGCTATTCACTGAGAAAGGGGTCCAAGTTTGGTAAGAAAGATCAGGAGTTGCATGGATAATTACGAGAAACTGCAATTAACATCCACTAACAGGGATTGCTATGCCAGCTGGGCCCATGCTATGCCTTGAATGGATTACTAACTTACTCCTAGCTGCAATCCTATAAAGCAGGTGTTATTGTCCCCATTTTGAGATGAGAAAACTGAGACTCAGAAAGGCTTGGTAAACTCATCATCAATCTCAGAGCTAAAAATTTGATAGATCTGAGATTTGAACTGAAATCTCTTCAGTTTTAAAGCAGATGATTCTTAAGGACCAGCCCATGCCACTTCATGGCAACTCTGAGAAAAGTTTATGATTTCAAAAGAACTTGACTGTTAATCTGGAGCTCTGAAGCCAAACCCTCCTAGGAAACCTTCAGTGCCTCTCTCAGAGCCGCTCAGAGCTGCCCTGAGTAAACACTCCACGTCGAAAGAGAGTCTGTACTTCCCTCCACTCTTCCCTCCCTACCAACATCATTTTCTTCCCCTTTGGCCCAAACCTCAAGTTTACCTCCAGTTTCCCCGACCCTCAGCTCTGCCTTCTCCAAGTTCCTACAATACTTTCAGTCTCACCACTCATTTGGGCAATGATCACATGCAGGCTACCCTCTAGGATTTTCATGTATTTTCTATTTTCTTACCTTTTATTTTTTTTCTGATGTGAACTTTCAGACAGTACACACTGTCTTTGAAAGTCTTTCATGTACTGAAGTCAGATTGTTATAAACAAGCTAATAAACACAAATTTCAAACCATGACACACTGTGGGTCTGGCCACCAATCAACAGTTCAGTTTTACCAATGTCATTAACTCTAGCTATACAGTGGAGTCTCATTGTACATGCATTCAACTTAAGCATATTCAATTACATGTTCTTGGCAGAGCGAGAGCGAGTGAGAAGCAGAGTGAGCGAGTGCACCATTTATATTGAGTGGGCCATGATGCCTGCCATTCCAATCAATGAGCACATGTCCCATGGGATAGCAGACGAATCTGCTGTTCCCTCAGCTGGTTCCAGTCCCTAAGAACATTCCCCAGTATGAGTAACTCTCTGGGAAGACTCTGATTTTAGTGTTTAAAGACACATATTTTAGATATGCCACAATCTCTAATTTTAGTCAACTACTTTGCCTATTTCTCAATTAAAGAAACAGTGACCTATCCCAAAAACAGAGAGAAAAATGGGTCTATTGGACTACTCAGGAGACAGTAACAGATTTGGTCATTCTGATAACGTGATTTGCACACCACATTTTCTTTTGAGAACTAACCCCTAAGACATGGCTATAGTCATGGCTGCATATGCTCGTGTAATCATCTGACTTTTAAGTTGCATTATTTCTTTACTATTAAGTACAAATGAGCAAGAATTAGGAAAATGAAAAGTTGTGATCAACTAATAAAGCCAAATCTCTAACAAATGAGGCAAAAATGGAAATCACCAGACCTCCTGAAATCAAATGTGAGGGGAAAAGGATAAAATTATGCAACAGGAATGAGTCCAAAACCTAAATAATTATTGGAGATTTTACAATCCCCCAGTAGTTTTAATTCTCTAAAACAGAGTCTCCACGGTCAAAGGCACATACCTAAATATGCACATAAAATTATGATACAGACACATTTTCTGGAGAAGGCTATGTTCAAACATAGAACACTACCTCTCTCAATCAACCCTGCTGCCTACTGGGCAGATGTGCTGACCCTTGCCACTCGGTTTGCGTCATTGTCTCCAGCACAGAGCTCCGCGATGCACACTTCTCTGTCCTTACCTATCTAGAGAAATGCAGCACAGGTGAAAAATTGATGCCGTCGTCAGTAGGACGTCTAGCGATGTACGGACCAGGCAAAACATCTCCCCGTAAACCCAGATGTCTTGAACCAGTTCAATGGCACCAAAGGGCATCACAAGCACGGAAACCAGCAGATCCGCAAAGGCAAGAGAGACAATGAAATAGTTGGTTTTTATTTTCCTGTGAGTGAAAAAGCATAAGGGACAAGGCAGAGGGAGGTTAGGGAGAAAGGAGCAAGAGAGAAAAGAAGAGGAAAAGAAAAAAAGCAAAGAAAGAAGGAAAGAAGGGAGGGAGGAACAAGTAAGACAAGTCAAACACGAAACATATTCTGTGAGGTTCAGTTTGCCCTTCTGCGACCTGGCCGGAAAGACCCTGCACGGCCCAGACGCGTCTGAATTCTCCAGACCCTTCCTGTGCCAAAAGCCTCCTCCTCCTCTCCCCTCTGGCCACGCTGGCCTGATTTGAGTCCCCCAGGCATGAAGCCCCCTCCTGAGAGCCTTCACGCAGGGTGCTCTCTCTCCCTACTGTTGGTCCTTCGGGCCTCTGTTTGTCATTCTCGGGGAACCCTGCTAAGGTGCCCCCCTCACAAACGGTGTCAAATTCCACTGGTTTCCACGCTTAGGCTGACAACCGCGTGCCTCACATTTGTGACACATATCAGACGTGTGCTTTTATATGCTCTTGCGTCATCACTGGATTAGTGCATATCTTGATTAAGAGGAAGGCAGTAGATGACACAGGACTATGTCTTGTACCCCCTTTTATAGCCTGGCGGCTCTTTATTCATGCTGAGTACTAGACTCACTCAGTGAATTTTCATAATATTGATGCCCAGATCAATTATTTCAGGGACTTTGGGTGATTAACACATATATCTATCACACACTTACCACCCGACCCACCCCCCACCACCAGGGTTGCCAGACAAAATACAGGACACTCAGTTAAATTTGAATTTCAGATTAACAGTGAATAATTAGTATAAGTATGTTCCAAATATTGCATGGGGCATACTTATACCACACATTAGCAATTTTATGAAAGGTCTTCAGGTGATCTTAGTTGCAGCCATGGTTCAGACTGATGAAGTGCAAAGAGCAGACACTCAGGTTTAAATCCTAGATTGGTCACTAGTCAGCCACTCCTTCCCTGAACTGATGGATAAAGTCAGAAAGTTGGATTAGTTGTGCTCTCCACAGTAATATATACAGTGATCACAACTACTAAAAATCCCAATAAAGCTGAATGTAGGAAAAAAGGGAGACTGGAAGGCACTCAAGTGTTTACACTGCTCACATTAGAGTTGTGGGATTATGCGTGATCTTTTTTCCCTGCTCTATTTTCCCATATTTTTTTTTCTTTCTTAATCACACGATATAATGGCAAGTATATGTTCAGATCCCAACTCTCCAGAGAGAGCCCAGAACTTCGCCCAGGGTTCCTCATGAGGTCTCTTCATGTTACTCACCTGAGCTGCCTGTCCCTGCACACAGCCACCATCACCAGCAGGTTCCCCAAGATGGCCATCAGGATAACCGTCGAGAGAAACGTGAGCAGCACGACCTTCTCCACTGACCCGAAACCCTCCTTGGAACTGGAAGACACACACGCACACACACACACACACAGAGAATTTAAAGAAACTTTGAGGCCCAGGAAAGAAAATGAATCTTTTTTTCATTTATCTTCAGGAAGGTAACTTCACCATCAGCAGCTGCAACACACATTTATTGTGCACCTAATATATACTCTTGTCTGCCTCGTTATCTTACATGTTAATCCTCGTTAACTCCTATACACTGGGGATGAAGAGGCTCAGAGAGGTGAATTAACTACCCTGAGACTGCACAGTTATTCTCCATCAGAGAACTTGTGGCTTTCCTTCAGCTTGTGCTCAGAAATACATTTGGTTGATTTCTGCATTGTGCACCTACTAGCTAGGTTTAAGCTCCATGAGTCAGGGACTTTGTCTGCTTTACCCATTATCAAATTCAATTTTAATGTATCATTCACATTTAATGGATGAAGGAAAGCTGGCATTGGATGCATTAATCATGGTAACTTGAACCAGATCTGCATGAATAACAAGGCCACCCTGTTTTCAGTATGCCACACTCGTCCTTACGGAAGATGCCGTGTACAGGTGAGCTGTCCTGGGAACAGGTCATGGATTGAAGGTTGTTCTTACATGGCTGACCTGGACAAATTGGTCTCAGATTCTCTGAAGGCCACTGGAAAGATAGCAGCCAATCAATACACCTAGGGACTCCTTTCACTGCCCTGAACCACATGTCTCCTGGTGCCCAACATGTCAGTTTGAATTGCATTTTTGTCAATTTCGGCATCTAATTTGATTCTATAAACCCTGCTATCCTCATGTAAATCATTTTGTTTTATTAACTTGGAAGTGAGTGTTCTTTATCAATAAAAGTATAATAACTGCAGGTTATTCAGAAGCCACAGAAAAAAATGTTTTATTTTGGATTAGAGTAATAAAATGCTCTTTTAAAATAAAGTTTCAAAGGATCTTAAAATTCTCAGACCCAAAAGCCACATTTCAATACAAAGAAACTCAGGTCCAGAGAGAGAAGCTAAGTTCCCCTAACGTCGGAGCATGTTAGTGGTTGGTCTGGAAGAAGGTGCTTGTTCTCAGCACTGGGTCCCAAGAATCAAGAAATATCTGTCTTTGCTGAGCTCTTTCGACTAAAAACCAAGATGGCTCTGGCCCCAGACGGCAGCACCCACAAATCCTGGCTCTGTCCTTGTCCAAAACTTTTCCCACAAAAGACAAGGCGCTGCTTAGGTAGAATGAGGAACCGGTATTACAACAGTTAGAGAACCAGGAAGTCCCTCCACTATGCTGACAAGTGTTTTTATGAACTGATTGATTGATTGAAGTCTTTATGGCTAGGGCTCAGATGAAAAGAAATTCAAGGCATGTTCATCTAAATCTCTCTTCCACACCTAAATTCCAACTATCAACAATACAAATATTAGACAGGAAAAATCTAACTCAGTAAAGGAAAAGACCATAATAGGGTGATGTGGCTACCCCAAACTAATTTGATTGTGGGCCATATTAACTGAGGTAAAGTGTCTAACGAAAGAAGTGATAGTGGTTTTTTCCTTGTCCTTCTTGAGGCTCTGTTTCAGAGCCCCTCTGACGTGCATGAATGATGGTGCTCCCCGCTCGAGGCCTCTGTAACCAGTCGTGCTTTCCTTCTGGAATATCTCTTCTTATCATTCGTGACTCAGATAAAAGTTAATCCCCACTTAACGTACCACAGTCAATAAACATTTTTTATTTTCTTTATAGCATTTATTGTTATCTAAAACGACTTCTGTGATTAACTCTCGTCTGTGCCCCACCCCCACAGATCAACTTCGATCATCTTTTTCAGCACAATGTCCAGTGCCAGGCACAGTGTCTATTTTGTAGTATGTGTAGTGTGTAAGTATGCATAGTACGTGGAAGTGTTCAACTATTTGCTCATTGAGTGAAAGATAGATATACTGCATTCATGATGGTGAGGTTTACCCTATGATATCTTTGAAAACTGATTGAAGGTACAGAGAAGATTTTACCTAGGAAGAGAAAACCCAGTACAAGACACGAAAGCTATTTATAACTATCCGAAGAGCTGTCATTTGAAATAAGAGTAGATTTATGCATTCATTCATTGAACGATACTTTCTGAGCACCTTCTCTGCATTAAGGATTGTTGTATATCCTAGGGAAGCAAAAATAAGCAAAACGGAGAGCAGACAATGAATGGATAAAAAGAAATTATGTAAGGGTCAGCGGGTAAGATACACTATGGCAAAAAATCTAGGAGGAAAAGGAGGACAGGACTACCAGTGGTGGATGGAGGTCTGGCAAATTAACAGGGGTCATCAGAGAATGCTCAGTGTGATAGAGTTTTCACACTTTACATCCTGCACGTTGTGTAACAAAGTAGATGAATGAGCAGGCTTTAAGTAGTGGTTCTCAACCCTGGCTGCATGTTGAAATCACCTAAGGAAGCTTAGAAAATGCTGATGCTGATGCTAAGGCCCCCACCCTCACAGATGACGATTTTATTAGTTTGGGTTGCAGCGTAAATATTGAAATTTTTAAAAGCTCTTAAGTGATTCTGATGTGCAGTTGAGTTTGAGAATCACTGCTGGGGAGAGGAAGATTTCGTTCTGGCTAACAAGAATTTTCTAACAACTAAGGATGATCGGCGATAGCTTCCTGGTAGTGCTTTGCGCTCCCTGGCTCAGGAAGTTTTAAGAATGCTAGATGTCGATGAGGTACCACTTCACACTCATTGGGATGGCTGTTATAAAGGCAAAACAAAACAAAGTGAACAATAACAAATGTTAGTGAGAATGAGGAGAAATGAGAATCTCCGTGGATTTCTGGTGGAAACGTAAAATGGCACAGCTGCTGTGGAAAACTGGGGGTTTCTCCAGAGATTAAATATAGAATGACCGTATAGAATGACCAGCAGTTCCAGTCCCAGGTATGTGCCCCAAAGAACTGAAAGCTGGGACATGAATACATACATGTACAGCAATGGTCACAGCAGCATTATTCACAATAGCCGAAAGGCAGAAACAACCCAAATGTCCATCAACAGATAGATAGATGAACAGAATGTGGTATATACATGCTGGGGAATTTTATTCAGTCATAAAAAGGAATGAAGTTCTGGTACATGCTACAACATGGATAAACCTTAAAAACATTATGCTAAGTGAAATAAACCAGACACCAAAAGACAAATATGGTATGATTCCACTTCTACGAGAAGCTTAGAGGAGGTAAATTCAGAGAGAAAGTAGAATGGTAGTTACTGGGGGGCCATGGAGGGGAGGGAATGGGTAATTAGTTACTGAGTACAGAGTTTCTGTCAGGGCAATGAAAAAATTCTGGAAATGGATAGCGGTGATGGTTGTACACCATTGTGAATATACTTTTTGTCACTGAATCGTGCATTTAAAATGGTTATTTTACAAATTAATGGTAAATTTTGTGTTATGTGTAATTTGTCACAATAAAAAAAGAATACAATGAGACCATATATCAGGATACTATGTAGGGCTTCTACACTGAAGACAGGTAGGACTGGCTGAGTTCAGGTTCCTTCCTTGTTTATGGACAATGGTCTGGAAATATCCTTTGAACATGGATTGTCCGTCACCCACAGCCTCGCCTTTAGAACCATCTCCCCTGTATCTCCTTCCCTCTCATAGGAGATTTAAAAAAAAACAACAACAGATTCAGAGTCTGTGGTGAACATCTCTGACACCAGAGATGGTACATTTCAAATCAAGTGGGACCGTCAATGTCAGAGAATCATAAAGTCAATGTTTTGGTTCACTTATGGCAGGCCAACCAGGAGCTAGAAATAGCTAAGCTTTAAACTGTGAATGACAAGCAAAATTTAACCATAGAAGGAGCTTTTATAATTAGGCAGAACTGTCAGTTGAACTAAATGTAAGTCCAATAATGATAATTAAAATAAATGAGGAACCACTTCTGCCAAATCCATGTTAGATTCTGAGTTACCTGTGACCGCCTCCAGGAGCACTGTCCACCACTACCAGACAGTTCCCACCTGACCTAAGAGCTCTGTCTATTCCAGTAATGGGTTCTCTGACAGTTACTCTTATAAGAAATTATACTTTTTCTTTCTTCTTTTTTTTTTTTGCCTTTTCAGTGAATTCTTGCTCCATTAATAAATAAACTCCACAAAATTGCTGGCTCTGTTTATCATTTTCTCTGTCCTTAATAAAAAAAAACAAAAAACAAAAAAACCTATAACAATACACTTCCACCTAGGTTAGTATATGTGAAAGTGGACTGCAAATGACAAAGAACATTATAAATAAGTCATCTTCTCTGTCCTTAATAAAAAAAAAAACAAAAACAAACAAACAAAAAAACCTATAACAATACACTTCCTGCAAATGACTGCAAATGACAAAGAACATTATAAATAAGTCATCATCATTATTAATATTAGAAGCCCACACTGGGACAATAGCTAAGGAAGCTTTAGGTTATGCTTTGTTATATTGTCCAGAATCACTGGTTTCAAGGTCACGCACACACACAACACACTTCTTTAGGAGTCAAGAATACTTTTCTATTTTTTTGCACTGGCTTTGTTCATAACAGCTATGTTATTTCAAAAAGTCACTGGCTTTTTCTGAAGCTCCGTTTCTTCAGGATCAATTGAGGAAGCCATATTAACTTTCTCATTTATCAAACACAGATTGACAACCATACGCCAAGGTCTGTGCTAAGTACTGGCTACCAGAGTAAAGAATGTGACAAAGTTCTTGCCTTCACAGAGTTCACACTGCTGATGGAAACAGATGATAAGCAAGTGCACAACTAAAGAAATAACTAAACACAGTTGTGACCAGTGTTTCGAAGTCATCCTTTCAAACTTTAATATTTCTTTGAATCTATTAGGGATATTGTTAAAATGCAGATTCTGATTCTTTTAGTCTAAGGTAGGGTCTGGGGTTCCAATTTCACACCAGCTCACAGGCTCATGATGAGCCTCAGGGATGCTCATGCTGCTGGTTCATGAGTCAACT